TCAATTTTATTTTTTCGTAAATTTAATTTCATTAATTTCATTTATTTCTATTCACCACCTACTCTTGTGTTGTTTTTATTGTGGAAACATGTTTGGCTTTTGTTTATCTATATTTTAATATACCATGTTGATATTTTGTATTATTCGTTTTCCTTAATTAATAAATAAGCAATTGTTTTACTTATGTTGTCATAATGTGCTGAAGGGATATTATTTTAAAACACACCTAGTGTTTAAATTATTAGAAATAATCGAAAAAAGCCTGTTGGCGAATTATATATATAAAAAAAAACGTTGCATATTGTAAAGATTTCTAACTTATATTAATTTATATTATTTCAGTTTTATTATTTCATTTTAACGTAAATTAGCGAAATAATATTATAACTTTAATGACGAATAAGCTTTTATTAGCATTAGAAGTGTTGTTTCGTTACTACTCCTCAATTCTGACTGATCGATCACATACCGAACTATGGGCATCAGCATACGTCTATGCCTCGTCCAATCGTCTTCCAAAAGAGCCAAATATAGATAATGCACAGTTGAAATTTATTAAAAGAGTCATTATATGCTTTGCTTTAGTAAGAGACATTATTCCAGAAATAATTACATAGCTATTAAATACGGAAACATTTCGTTCGCCTTTTTTTAATGATTGAAGGATTGCTGGTGGCCCGGAGGCCTTTTCAGTTTCACCGGGACAGGTGGGCTAGCAAAGGCTCAGCCAGGAGGGGTGGGATTAGCTAACAGCTGTCCGAGCGCCTCCATAGGATACCTAACAACTCAAGACCAGTTGCTTCGCGTATGAATCTACTACCGGATCGGGATCGCGACCCGCTGAGAAGATCCGGTCAGAAACTCCACGGTTATAAGGATCCCTAAGCCTGCTCCTAGCGTTAGAGCTAAAGGCGTCTTGGGTCGTAGTCGAGGAACAAAAGAGCCACGGTTTGCCGTCCACTGGTCTATGCGAATCAGCAGTCGCTTAACACAAGACGGGACGTCAACTCGTTAGTACATTGAATCAATTCCTTTAATTAATTCTTTAATCTACGATCGCGTTTTCATTGTTTATTTTCGTTCTAGAAAGTTCCGTAGCGGTATTTCTAAACTGTGTTTAACCTAAACACCTAGATGTTGTAACGCAGTGTGAACCGGATTCTGTTTTTGCTTTATAGAATACGTAACGAAATCAGAGATGGACATCGCGTTGTATTATTATGTTCCGTGTTGATTTTTGCTTCGTATTATCGTATTTTACGATTCTAAATGTTTGTATTTTATATTAAAATTTGACCTAACGACCTAGATTGAGATTCTAAGTAGGTTTTTGGAGTTTGTGTTTTACGAGAAAGAATAAGGTTTTTAAATTTGAATACTTAACATAATACGTGAGTATAGTGTCTCATTAGGCTTTGGTGTCCTCCTGGTGACATTGCTAACACTAGTCCTAGCAAGAGCAGTGTTTCGCAGAATCTACCATCGGATCGGAAACGCGATCCACTGGAAAATCCGGCGAGAAACTCAGTGGGCTGTGTCCAAGGATAAAAGGTGCACTGTAAACTTGTCTGACCATATAAAATATCTTAATTTTTTTTTTTTATTGCTAGGTGAGTGGACGAGCTCACAGCCCACCTGGTGTGAAATGGTTACTGGAGCCCATAGACACCTATCTCGAGACATAAGTTCAAAGTCTCCGTTTTAACAGTACAACGACTGCCCTACCCTTCAAACCAGCTGGAGTCATGGTCCAGACGGCTGGCTAATCCTTCGACTGGTCGTAGGACCGTCGAGGCGATTCGCCCGGTTCTTGTGAATTGAATAGGAGGGGTGGCGCCGTGTCCTCGTCGCAAAAATAGGAAACGACTTGTCGTTGCCGAGTGTTGTGGCATCGATGCTCGGTGACGACGAGTCGTGGAAGGCGATTCTCGACTTCTGCGAGTGCACCATCTCGCAGAAGGAGGCGGCGGGGCGCGTGAGAGACGCGCAGGCCCACCGCCATCGAGCGGGGACCAGGGAGGCGGATTTCTCCCAAGCCCTCTAAGTGTTTCGGGATTCCCTCACATGTCGGTCTGGGGACCGGGGAAGAGGGGGCTAAGAAGACGACGTGCAAGCTGCTCTGCACGCGTTTTATGCAAGAGCATCCGGGTGATGGAAGGCCGGCTATTCTCAACCCACGCTGGTTCTAACCCAGCGGGGTATTCCGTAGGATAGACCATTCTAACCGGCGCCATCTAGGCGGACTTCGGATAGCCTGCCGACCTAGAGGGCTGGTGGTCGTGGCGCCGACGACCGCCGATCCGATGTCCCGAGGGGGAGGGTGATGGGAGAGATGTGCTCCGCATTAAACGCTTCACTTTCCCCCCCTTTGCCTTTTCATGAGTTCTGTCTCATGCGAGGATTGGATGCTGGTTGTTGAGCGAAAGGAGGTTTTAGTCGGTTCAACTCCGACATGCCCCGCCCTCCATCCCCAGTGGAGGGCGGAAGTCCGGTGATTTCCTCCTGACAAAAAAAAAGCCTTCAAACTAAACCGCATTACTGCTTCACGGTAGAAATAGGCAGGTGCGGACTGAAGATTTCCTAACACCAGTAAAATTATTTACGTAGACTTGTGTTTTATTTACTTATCGTGAATATTTCATTTTTAGTATATTATTTTACATTTTGCACACTTTCACCCCTGCCTGAGGTTTGTTCAAAGAATACCCTCGAATTTGGACATGTTATTATTGTTATTTAAAATGTATTTTTCGATAAAAAAATTTCTCTAGAAGAACCGAATAAGTTGTAGGCTCTGACTTTACGCATAGTTTTTACTAATATAGACACGGTACAGTTCTCGGCGAACCAAATTCGGACGAACGCCAATGCATGCTGAATACGAATCGAATTAGTTTTACGTAACAGTTGTATACATACATATACGATGTTCATTAGAAACTAACCATTATGTCAAACGCTAAAAGGTCTATTATTAATCTTGCATAATCTTAATCTGATCGGGACACTTAGGATTGTAATGTTCTTGCGGCTCTCTTTGTTGTTGTTTGTATGGAAATCGTCATCCCGTAAAACCTGATTCAATATTGCTGTCTCTTTCTAAACATGTAAATAAACACTGATTTCTCGACACACGTTTACGTTAGCGAAAACGAGTCATTTGTCAGACTAGCTACCAACATTCAAATAAAATACAATCTAATCTCGTTTTGAACATGGAAACCGATTGCACACGTATGACGTAGTTAGGGCGCCACGCGCAATATTACCCTCCTAACGACCTTAACTACGGTAAGACGTAACGTTACTAGCGTCAATACGAATTGCTTTAGATATGGCTGACTTAGCTTCAAAATGTGTTGCCATGTTATCACAAAGACCGTAATTTTCTAAAAAGATTATTGATCTACAAAATTTTCTGTATCTACCCGTCAACTACATTTATTTGTTATAAGCATTTTAATAAAATTTTGTTTTTCTTTCTAGCCACCCTTACGATGAGACAGTATAGAAGACTCTTTGGTGGGAACGGGAGGAGTGAAGTTGTGTGATTTGTTTTATTTTGTCTACTTAGTGTTTCTTCAAGTTTAAATGTGTAATAACGGTGGTTTATTAACTGTTTAGTATCTGTGAAAGCGCACAAATGTGGGAAAATGAAACAAAGTCGCTGGACGTAGCTTCCGGGATTCTCGAAAAAGTCCACTGAAAAAATCTCAGTAAATGACCACCATTTTACTGAGATTACATTTCATACCATATCATCTCATCTCATCTCATCTCATTTCATTTCATTTCACTTCATATTATCATTTTTCATAAAGATAAGAATATAAATTAAAATAAGACATGACCTAAAGGTCTTAGTTACCAGGTCATAAAATACCTTAAAAAATACAGTATAGAATATTCACTCTAAAATGTCGCGTGTCATGATTGTTTTCGGATCCAATTTCAAAAATACAGAATTTTTAATTATACTATTTATGCCTTATGTCGCAACGGAAAAAATTCTTTCAACTTAAATTTTAATTACACGATCTAAACGTTAAACGCAAATGGCGACTCGAAATTATCCCTTAAAACCACTTCATAAATCTCCTTCTCTAAGGGAAGATGCCCAATTTCGAACCTATAGAAATTGTTAAACCTTAAACAACCCTTAATAGTTGTCACTGGGTCGTTCACCTTGTCCCAACTAAGGTTATCGATAGTGCATACATTCGTTTTATCGATATCAAGGATTACACCTGATCACCCTGAAGTGTTTTTGATAAGAATTATTTCGACATTTACCTGCAGATAATTATTATCTCAACTGCGTAATACCAGTCAGATATATGTACATTTATGATATATGATATGTTACCTTGTAGGACACCCTGTACATGTATATATATGAATAGAAATGAATTTTGAAGAACGAATTATAATATTTATAAATCTACACTATATGCCTTTTTTTAACGGACGAGTTCGCGGGCTATCTGATGATAAGTAGTGGCCAAAGCCCAAATCGTGAACGCTGCTATCGACAATGATGTTAAAGTATCAATTTTCCCACGGTTGCTTCGTGGCGGTTTACCCACTGAGTTTCTCGCCGGATCTTCTCAGTGGGTCGCGTTTCCGATCCGGTGGTAGGTTCTGCGAAGCACGGCTTTTGCTAGGGTTCGTGTTAGCAACATCGTCAGGTTTGAGCCCCGTGAGCTCACCTACACGCTAGGGTAACACTGATATAGCCTCTCAAGGCTATCAACAAAGGTAGCGAAAAAAAGGATGGCGTGACCCATCTGCTCAGGCTCACATACGAAATCAATGATTTAAGCAAATGAATACGCGATTGATGCATTTTCTTCAAAACCAGATCTTTGAATTAATTGAAATGCAACAAATGTTACTTCGTATTCAATCATCGGTACAATGTTGTGTAGTCTTGAATAAAATTGAATTTAGATGAAGGATTTCCTTTATAAAACACACAAATGATTATGAATTCGACTCACCTATGTGGCCCGTGTGTTGAAAGTTCGTGGGCGCGCCGATCATGGACCTGTCTATTCTCCGTCGGGTTCGTTGCGCCTGAGCCGCGGGTTGGTAGCAGCACGCGAACCACTGAAGCCAAATTTCACCGCCGGTACTCGCCATTTTGTTTACTGACTTCTGTACTGTCTGTCCACTTACACACCGGTTACAAAATTCGAAAAACGTTTCCACGTAACGGACGCGGCGCGAATTTAAATATTTTCAAATCGAATTTCGAAGTACTCGTTCGAAATTCGGAAGCTCTAGGGATGCGAACGATTTACCGATCGAATGTTATCGATAGGCGATCCCGTTACGCACTGAATTTTATTCTGACTATGGATTAACTTTTTAATATCGACTCAAACGACGTCACTTGGCGAGGCTCGATCCCGCACTGATAAGGTAGATGTCATGATTGTCCTGATAACAGATCTGAAAAGAAAGATAAATCGATGAATGCTTTCCAAGAATCGATACGAAACTATTTACTTATGAAGTGGCCAGAACTCATTAAGACGTTCAGCGTAAACTATTAACGATCGTTAGAATAAATGGTGGTAAATATCGATAAGTCCACTCAGCCTACCATAACGTGGTATGTGTGAAGAGTGAAAACGTGTGGTTTCAAGTAATAATGCTACTAGAACACGTTGTTATTGTTTGTGGTAAAGAAAGTAGCCACTCGAGATCACACAGTCTTGTGGGTAATCATTTGAAACCGGTTTGTTCCGAGATCGACTGTTGTACCGCGTAACGGTAAGTTTCACACCGTTTTATTGCGTACAATTAAAATTTTACATACAAAAAATAGCTCTAAAATTACTTAACATAAAAAAAAAACAATCTGTTCATTTTAACAAAAATGTAAGAAAAATAGGGGTTAGCTAAATAAAGAATGGTAACACTACTGAACATAGCGAATATTCGTTTTTTTTCTTCTTCAGTTTTTTTTTCTTCCTACCTATGCTGATAGCCTTGAGAGGCTATTTCAGCTTCGCCCTAACGTTTGTAGGTGAGCTCGCGGGGTTCAAACCGGAGAGTTGCTAACACTGACCCTAGCAAGAGCAGTGCTTCGCAGAATCTACCACCGGATCGGAAACGCGACCCACTGAGAAGATCCGGCGAGAAACTCAGTGGGCTGTGTCTGTGGGTTAATTCGCTCGTCGAGCCCTTCGTCGCAAGCGACGGGTTCGACCAGGACGGTGACCGTCAGCGTCCTTAGTGCTAATTTTGTATGGAGTTGGAATTGCTTCCCTTCGTTTGCGGCTAGGGGCGCTGTTCCAACTCCATACAAATTTGAGTTAACTTTTACGCAATCGAGAAGTAAAAAAACTCGCACTAAGCACACTGATGTGTTTCTTTGAGGTTCGTTTCGTGAAGCGGAATATTATAGCAAAAATATTTTCGTCGTTGAAAATAAATAAATTTCCTTTTGTACTATTGGCTGTTGTTAGTTGGAATTTACATATCGAGTGGTGAAAGGCTATATGGTTTAAGCAACATTTCGCTTAACACGCGACATTAATATTTGTCATTATAGGTGCGTTTTGTTTGTAATTATTAGCATTAACAGTTCGATGTATTTAATTGAACTTCAATTACGTTGATTCAAATAGTTGAATAAGTTTTTTGTTATGAATTTTTTTACTTTAAAGGAGATCCCTCCTGTAAAATTCCAACAATGTCGCTTAAACCAAATAGCCTTTCAGGCCTCGGTATCATTAATACGAATGTAACTTTGTCTATTACGATTTAACGCCCAACCCGCCGATTCGACTTTGACGAAATTTGGTATAAAATATAAATCACGCAAGCGAAGCTGCGTGCAAGACCTAGCTTCTAAATAAAGACTGCCCGTAGTTACGTCTTACGTGTTCCACGCTTATACTTATACTTTTCCTAAAGTATTTCAATTTTTATACCAGACTAGCTGACCCGGCAGACTTCGTAGTGCCTCAGTCGATAAATAAAAGACCTAAATTTTTGTATAAAATAAACTTAAAACAAACAAAAGGAATCCGTCCGACGGGGGACACATCAAAGTTTTTTTTAATTCTGAGCATTTTCATATTTATTTACCTTTTAAACCTTCCCTGAACTTCTACAAATCATTCAAGACCAAAATTAGCCAAATCGGTACAGCCGTTCTCGAGTTTTAGCGAGACTAAAGAACAGCAATTCATTTTTATATATATAAGATTACTCTGGAAATTTTGTAGTTTCAATCGAATTTGATCTCTTTATATATCAGATGCACGGTCACCTTGTCTGCCAATCTACCTCAAAAAAAAAAAACGAAATATATTTCATCGACATATCTCATCCCATCTCTTGTCAGTCAAAAGACATGTGACACAGCACTACACTTCGATACAATCGGAACGATATCTTCACATAGCTCGCACGGACCTTCCACGATGTAGGTCACACAAATATCATCTCTAGTAGTTCAACAGTAGTTTTATTGTTTCATTAATTTGTTATATGTTTCACGGAGCTAAACGCCTGCGTGGTGGATATGAAGGGGAAATGCATCCCCATTCTTACATTCCGATACTAGGAAAATTTGTGAGCATTTTTTTTTTATTCTGAAATTAATGGGAATATAGTAATCAAATATTTGTACTGGACGTATAGTTAGCCCGCTCGGGTAAAAGTTATAACTTTGCCTTCTCATTTTTAGGAGGACCGCTGTATTACTATTTTGAACTCATATTTTTTTTATGATTGAAAGATTACTGGTGGCCCGGAGGCCTTTCCAGTTTCACCAGGATAGGTGGGCGAGCAAAGGCTCAGCCAGGAGGGGTGGGATTTGCTAACATCTGCCCGAGCGTCTCCGAAGGAGACCTAACAACTTAAGAGCAGCTGCTTCGCGAATGAATCTACTACCGGATCGGAATCGCGACGGAATCACGTCCTCTTTGTCGAATTCGACGAGTACGGCTACCGGGGTCCCTAAGCCTGCTCCTAGTGTTAGAGCTGAAGGCGTCTAAATCAAAGGTTATTGGATCTGATGGATCTGTAAGAACGTGTCTAGGGCGTCGACGGTGACTGGCTCCTGCGTGATCAGGATTCGAACTCATGTCTCGAAGTGGAAAAAACCCCCTAAATTATAATGTCATGATCTCGTTCTAGGCAAATAATAAATAATAGGGATGTTTCTTATTCCTTTATACTTACATGTATCAGAATTTGTCGTAAATGTTTATAGGCTCATCCACTTTGAGATATAAGGTCTCAGTATAGTTACAACGACTGCCCCACTCTTCAAGCTGAAACACCTTACTGTTTCACGGCAGAAATAGGCAGGGCGGTGGTACCTATTCGCGCGGACTCACATGAGGTCCTACCATTAGTTATTCTCATCATCAGCCGATTAGTCAGTCTGGATTCGGAGGTTTAAATGAAAACCAACTAAGTTGTATTTGTAGATAGACTAAAGAGATACGAAACGAATTTTTCGGTGCGATTCGCTTAGTTTTAATGTGGGCTTTTTTTATTGGGATGTAGCTTCGGGTGAAAGCTTCCGTGGATCAGCAAGTTGGTGACAGAACGAAAGGGAAAGCGAAACGATATCATTTTCTAATTATGTGTTATATTCCGACCGGTTTTCATTTAGTTAATTCTTTAAAAAATCTTTTGATTTTATATTGATTTCCAACATTATTGATGGTTCTAGTCTATACTAATATATAAATCTACAGTGATTTTTACGGATGTTCCCTTATAACTACTGAACCATGCATCCGATTGACTCGAAACTTGGTATCCATGTAGAGAATACATGTATTTAATGGATAGGGTAATATTTATATGAGTGTTTGACTCCCTACACCAGTTGCGGGGGCGTTAATTATGAGAATCTTTGTGGGGGTGAGAAATAATAATGTTAATTTTAAATGCCTTTCTATGATTATTTTATCGGTTGTATATATTTAAAAAAAAGCTGTTATATTATATTTCTCGGGGATCACGAAAATGTTTGAAATATTTTGCGACTTAGGGCATAGCATTCGATAAATCAAGACATAATTGTACATTAATGTAATGGATATTAATTTCTACATTTTAATCAAAATCTTTGATGTCTTTTGTTATTTTTGTTTTATGTTTGAGAAGTTACTGGTGGCCCGGAGGCCTTACCAGTTTTACCAGGGCAGGATTTTTTAAGTCATGTTGCATGTAAACACACCAAACAGATCATTTACTTTAGCCTCCAATATTCTTTGAATGTTAGTTTTTTTTTAGATTTATAAATGGGTTCCAAAAACATTAATTTAAAACTTAGGTAGGTACACGGGGCGGGAGGCGAGAATGCTCTTAGCGAATAAAAACAGTCCTATCACATGCAAACATTTACAATGTATGAACATTTCTATTAAATTATGGTGGGAATCGAAAGCTGCATATATGATCTGAATGAGTTGATATTCCAAAAGCTCCAAGCTATAATTTTGTAACGATTTTTCTTTGTTATTTAACGCTGGCGAATAAAAAGCTCAATTATATTCTCGTTGACAATTACAGTCTAAGGCGGTTCACAGACAATCGATCTAGTCTTTAACATTGACTTTCTCTGATTCACACAGCGCGTAATGACCGTTAGGTTAGATGTTGTAATAGACATTTGGTAATAGCAATTGTTAAAGAATTTGCAGTATTAGGAGTTCTGGCTCAGGATAAATGTTTTATTTATTTATTTACTAGCTGACCCGGCAGACTTCGTAGTGCCTCAATCGATGAATAAAACACCTGAACTTTTTTATAAAATAAAATTAAAACAAACAAAAAGGATCCCACCGATGAGGGCCACATCAAAGGAAAAACAAAATTGTTATTTTTATTTAATTCCGAGCATTTTCATATTTATCTATCTTTTAAACCTTCTCTGGACTTCCACAAATAATTCAAGACCAAAATAAGCCAAATCGGTCCAGCCGTTCTCGAGTTTTAGCGAGACTCGTTAGTCTTGCTGTTCGTTAACAGCAATTCATTTTTATATATATATATAGATTTTTTTACGACAATTAACGAAGACCACTATAACAATCCACGTCGACCACGTCTTTGCTTTCTTGAGATCATCTGTCCTCGATTTGCTTCAAATAGAACTCTCCTCATGTCGACTATGCCACGCTTTTCTTGTCGTTTCGACAAAAACTACAATGTTCCAGAATATTCTGGAGACGTTCCAGTTGTTTCGACATCCGTTTATGTTATTTGACGACAGATCGCGTTACTTGTACTGGAATAATACTCAATGAATGTTCTAGAACATTCGAGAGTTGTTCCAGTGGTTTCGATATTTTCGTTTTAAGATTGTTCTGTGGCGGTAGCTATATCATATAACACAAAATGTAATAATAGTATAAGGATATATTCTTTTTTCAAAAATACTTTAGCAATTTCTGCAATATATGTATGTGAAAATA